TAGGAGTTACTAGAGTTATCTAGTAGCTGACTCTATAAGTAACTCCTCTAGGAGTTACTAGAGTTATCTGAACAGTGGTTGTGTCGAGCTAGAACAGTGCTGTTGTCTTCCTTGTCTTCGTCAAGGCTTGTCTACCTCAAGACTTGTCTTCCTCAAACCTAGTTCTGTTTTAGCCTTGAGGAAGAAAAGCCCTCTTGTGGTAACGCCGGCTCGACACAAGCACTGTTCAGGAATTTTTTTTATCGCACGCTTATCCCTTCCTGTTCCTGGCGTTTTCAGAGTCAGTAAGGTATCATCTATCTCTCTCTCTCTCTCTCTCTCTCGTGAGTACAAGCCTTGGAGCCTCCTCCTGAATGTACCATTCACCAAGCGTTTCAGTGAGGTCGTTAACACGAATTCCCGATTCGTTGATTGGAAAGCCTGGCTTTTCTACAGAACACTACAGGTTACATACACACACGTCCAATAAACTATTCATATTGGGCGTTTATTACAACATACACTGAGGTCTTCATTAACAACGATTGGCCATAAAGGTGTTTATAAACTGTAGGCCCTCGGTAAACTAATGTTGCGAGCTTGTTTATTGCGCTCGTCAGACCCTTGCGACCGTGATGGCGAAAGGCTGGCGCAGCTTGTGACCGATGTCGAACAGGTACAGCGTCTGCAGAGCGAGAGCGGAAGAACGGAACGTGCAGCATTGAGAGAGACCGAATAATCATGAAACCAGCATGAACATGTGTCAAGCTACTTTTTTTTTACCGCAGATTTTTCGCAATATATAGTACGGCCACATTGGAATAGGCCGTAATCAGTTCATTCTTCAGTCTCATTATATATCAAGACGAAAAAATCATGAGCTAGAGGTTACAGAATACAACTGCACCACTAATCGTTTTCAAAAGCAATATTTCCCCTAAAATAGTTTTGAACGGAATCGTTTGGCTGCGGACACGGTCCACATACCAGATAACGAAACCTTTGGGGGCGCTTTTTGACACCTCGTTTTGTTTTCGGCTGCAATTAATTTGTATGCAATGTTTTGTCCTTATGACATAGTTTTTGTTTCTTTATGTTTGAACCGTATAATTTAATTCTTGTTTTTCTCTCTTTGTCTAGGTTAGGTGATTTATATGACATTCATATGAATTGATAAGAATGAATGCCATGATTTGTTTTTAGTAATTATGCTTAAAACTCTGTTGTTCTTCTCTCTACCAATATTCTTGAAATGTGGTATGTACAAATTCTCTGTGTATACCCCCCTCCCCCACGCTAATGGCGCTGTTGGTATGAATGTCAATTAAATAAATAAATAAATAAATAAAACGTAACTAGTGTTGCCAAAGAACAAACTAGAATTGTTGCGGCTATGGTTCAGTGCATGCTTAAAACGTTAGAGGAACTTTATTAGTAAGGGTTTGGGTCAAAAGACGGTCAGCTTGATGATTGCGGCCTCTAGTCCAGTGCTGCCCTCTCTCGTCTAGGTTAGCTGGCTACTCCCGCCTGCCTGACGTGACCCAAGACCGCAAGTGACGAGACCGAAATCTGCTGATGATCTGAACCCACCTCCCGCGCGTAGGCGAACTTGAGCGGCCTCTCGTTGAGTACTACGCGAGCTGGGCCTGGACCCGGGACGCCAAACACCGTGGCCGCTCGGAGGGTCGCGCTCCACTTGCATGACGAGCAGTGGCCCGTCAGGATGCCCTGGAATCGCGTGATTAGGCGCGCCGTATGCGTTATAGAAAGCTCTTAAGCGATTACTTAATGGAAAAAGAAACACTCTGATCACGAGACTCTCAGACAATACTCGACTATATCCAACGAAACTCCTGTAGATGATGAAGATCTCTATTGAAGATCCCTTTTCAAGGCGAGGGTGACGAGAAGCAGCCACCTGCCTACAGGCTGCTTGTCGTGATGAGGAACCACTCGGTGTTAAGCAGTCTAGCATCCGGGTTATTTACTTTTTTTTAACAAGATGGAGTAGCATAGACTATTTACAGGGAGTCAAAGCAGCTACCACGCGAAGGGAAACAGTCTAATACACAAAGCATCGCGTTCTGTGTCACCATTTTACTTTTTACACGGTCTCTATCAAGCCTTCCTTGCCACGTTACATCATTATTGAATAGTATGCTCATTTATTCATAGTTATTCATTGTATCCTCAATTTTTTTGACGCATCTATGCCTCTAGCGACTTTGATTTTACCACCACATTCTTTGCACTCTCCGCTCGACAGTATAAGAATAATGTGTGCTCAACGGCTGAACGTCCATTCACTTTATGATTCCAAGCCTCTGAAGGAAGCTCGCCTCTGCCATGTCCCGCTGGGTTAGTATAGTGGCATTGAAGTACAATATGAAGAGTATAGTTTCTTGATTTATGTCGTAAGGGACACACGCGTCAACAGGCTGTACATATCCGTCCCGGCACGTTTTTGATCTACGGCAGCCAACGCAATGGCTTCAAATAACATTGTGAAATAAAATACAAATATTGCCTTCTTGTTTGGTTTGCCGCATTTGCGATTAATCCGTAGCGTATTTGTTCAATTCAATCATTGAGACTTAATCGGTCGTGTCTGTAAAAAATCAAGCGCATGTGCAATACGTCGACTTAATATTCTACAACATTTCCCAAGGTCTGCTGCGAAGTATTAAAGTGGTGCAGCCTCCGTTACCTTCCCGAGGTGTTGCTTGATCCTCCGGTTAGGTCACATTAGATTTGCTTGCCTAGCAGAAAGGGAGCAGCCTCACATCGCCACCACCACCATCACCATCATCAGCGGAGTCAGTCTTGAGGAAAGACTTGGGAGTATGGATTTATTACAAACGTCGCTGAAAACTACAACCACGCGTTTCCGTCGAATGAGGTGGATTTTCATGTGGGTCAACATGTAAGGATGCGTGGCTAGATGATGGTAGAAGGAGAATTTTGTCAATACTTTGTGATCTTATCGAGGGAAAAAATAAAACGCCACAGGAGCAGGGCTAATAAAGGGAAAAAAATAAACGCGATAAATGACGATTATTGGCCCTGTCTACAGGAAGAAGTCGTGTTCGTGCGTCATGAAAATGTATTAACGGATTCCGGTGGAACACTTCTGCACCAAGAAGAGAAAACAGTGAAAGAAAAGCTGGCTGGGAGCTGCTTAAAGTGAAGTGCAGTTTGCCCGGTGGTATAACTGAAGAGGATTGGAAAACAAACCATGCGGATAATGTAACGAAACCAGGAAACACTCGGGAAATGCTGTCAACTTGTAGGGCAGCCTAAACATAAAGAGTGGCAGTAATCAAGTAGGTACGCTGCCCTCCATTACCGTGTCAAGGTCGTTATTGCTAAATTCATCGTTTCGCTGTCCAGCTATTCAGCACAAACGAGCTTGCACTGTGTGTACCGGAATTGATATTGTGTTACCTTGTTTGTTGATATTAGAACTTTCAGTTCATTGCGCAGATTACCTAATTACGCAGTAATATATGCATTGCTGTGTTTTTACTACCTCACTGATTGCCTGATGTATAGAGTTACAACCCAATAGTGTTATGCCAGTTCCGTTTATCACTTTACTGTACCCCCAGGTCGTCGGACCGCTAGGGTACAGTAAGGAAATAACCTAAATAGCAATATAAGATATATACATTCACAAGTGGTGGCTATACATCTAAAAAGCTGCGGATACAATCGATAAAGTTACACTTAAATTACCTTCATGTAGGAGAAGTGAAACATGAGTAGCGACCGGTCAAAAATGTTCCTGTGAATAAAGAAAAAAGAGAACGCACTAGGTTAAACGAAAATTGCAAAAGAAAAAAAATGGTAGGATAGGTCGCCACCACTATTTATGCGACTGACGTTCCGCAAAGACGCACTGGACTTCCGTTACAAGCCGGAGGGGACGCACATGGAGAAAAATACAAAATTTGCTGACTGATAAACGATAAACGAATGCTGACTGATAAAAATACCCCTAATAATTCTGAATTACGTATTCGCCCTTTGGGACAAACTGGGTCAGCATATTATGAACGAAAATCTAGGATGTGCTCGTTTGCGAATGGAATTTGACAGGGCGGTGACATTAAGACATCGAATGGGTGCTACGAGAATGATACGGAGACTGGTTACTTTAACCAACTTTCCTATATTAAAATTTTGGCTTTATTTACGTCGATTACAAGGAGATAGCACTAAGAAAACTGAGCAGCCTGACGGGGGCGTGCACCACGCATCTGTGA